TTATTGGGGAAACAAAGGCTTTTTTCCTTTTATTTTCTGGGGCCAATAAAAATATTTTCCTTTTTAAAAATTTTTGCCCTTTCCAAAAATTTAAAGTTTCCTTTTAATTTGGGTTTTTAAACTTTTTTTTTTAAGGGGAAAATTTAATTAAGGGGTTTTGGGGGCCCTTTAAAATGTCCTTTTTTGTTTCTTAGGGGGGGGGAAATTCATAAGTTAGGATGCCCTTTTTTAAAGGGGAAAAATTTAACCACTTTTTCCCTTAAAAAACTTTTTTGGTTTCCGCCAACAATTTTTAATAACCCCATTTTCGGGGAGCAAAACCCCTGTTTTCTAAAACTTCAAAATAAATACCTAAAACCCTTTCTTAAAATTCTTTAAAAAACCTAGAAGGAAAAATTTTTTGGAAAAAATTCTCTTGGGGGATTTCATTTAAAGGCTCCCCCTTTTTTTTCTCTCAAAAGGGGATTTTCCCCTTTAAAGCCCAAATTTACTTTTTACCCTGAGTTCTTGGCGTTTTAAAAAAATGCCCCAAAAAATTTTTTTTGAAATTACCCCGGGGGAAAAAGGGGAATTAACCCTTTTGGGATACCTTTAACGTCATTTCCACCATTTTAAAAATTTTGTAAGGGGAAGCCGTAAAAACCCCCCCTTTACTTTCCGGCAACGAAAAAAAATAAGGTTGAATTTTGTCGGGGTGGCTGGGGCCCTTTTGGTTTTAAAGGGGGCCCTTAAAAATTTTAATAAAATTTTTCCCCGTTTTTAAATTTGGGAACCATGATGGGCAGGTTTTGGGTTTTTAAAGTCTTTTGGTTTTAAAATTTTGGGGTCTACCTTTATCTTGGGGGTTGTGTCAAAATATGGTTTTTTTGGTTTTTTATTTTTTTTTTTACTTAAAGTAATTTAAGGAAAAATAAATAGTTCCTTAAAAATTTTAAAAGGACTTTAAAAAAAGGGAATTTTTGGGGGAAAAAAAGGGAATTTTGGGCTGGGGGGGGGGTTTGGGATATTTCCTTTTTTGGGGTGAAATTGGGAGGGCCCGGGTGGGAATTTTAAATTTTTAAAAATTCCTTAGAAAAAGGGGGAAAATTGCCCAAAAAACCCCCTTGAAAATTAAAATCCCTAAAATGGTGCTTAATTTTGGGGGGAAACCAAAACCCTTTAAGAAAAAATTTTTAAAAAAAGGTTGGGGGGCCCCTAGAAAAAATTTTTGTTTCTAATTATTGCCCTTACGGTATTGGCTGTGTAAAAATCATCGAAATGGAAACTCCCAATTTACGGCTTTGACAATTTTTTAAATCTTAAAAAAAAACTCTTTAATGTAAATTTTTCATGACCCAATATTTTAAAATTTAAACAAAGGGTTTAAATTTCCCAGTATATAACTTTAATATTTTTTCTTTTGTTCAAGTCTTGGGAACAAAAAGGGGACCCCGGAGGGGTTCCCCCCATTTTTTTCGAATAAAAAATTTTTTAAAATAACTTCAAAATTTTGGCCTTTTTCCATTTTTTTTTTTTATGCAAAAAGATTTTTGGAAAATTTTTTAAAAGGGTTTTTTAGTCGGGGGAAAATAATTTCAACGGGGGGAAAACCCCATAGAAAAATTATTAAATTTATTAAAGTTTTTTAAAACAATACTTTATTTTCCCCTTTGTAGTTAATTTAACTTTACTTTGTACAAAAATTTTTTAACCCATATACATTTATTTTAAAAATCAGGGGGAAATGTCATGTTAATAAGGAATTTTAAATTTAAATTCTTCCTTTTTCCCTAAGTCCTCATTAATTTTTTTACTTTCTCTTTTTAACAAGGGCTGTAGCCCTCAAAATAAAAAAGGTACAAGTTTTAAAACAAGACCTTTGAATCGGGGCCTTTTAAAAGTTTTTGGGATGCTAAACTGACCAAGAATTTAAAATCAAAAGAGTCTTTCAAAGTAAGAGGAAAAAAGTGGTCGCCCTAGACCCAAATTTCTAAAAAACCTTCCAACTGAAACCCGTAAAAGACCCAATTTTACGATCGGGTTGGGGGCTAGAGGAGGGATAAAAGACTGACTACTTGCCGGGTCTTTTGACGTGTCCCTCAGGTTTGGGTCAGCTGACCACTCAGCCGCAGGACAATAAACAATTGAACAATTTTTCCCCGGGTGGTTTTCCCAGACCCTTTAAAATCTATATACACCCAAAAAATCCTACCTAACCATAATAGTAAAATAATAGTGATAATTACGATAAAAGCGATTTTTTTCCTTTGGGAAATTTTTTATAAATTAAAAGATAAAAATATAAAAGCCGGGAAAATCTTTATTTTAGCTATAAACGGGGACTTTTTGCGCTATTTTTTAAATGATGAAACAGCCCCTTTCAATATTTTAAAAAAAAGAGGGGTGACCAAATTTTAAAATTTAACAACCACACCACCAACCTTCCCGGAATAGTGCAAATCTGGTGACCCCACCAACACCCCCTGGACTAGTCACTCTTGTTTACCACACCACCAAAACTTTGGTTGTGCACTCCCCCCCGGTGACCACACCACCACCTCGGGGCTAGGGCAATCTGGTGGGCCACAAAACCCAAAACCCCCTTGGGCATGCCCTCGGTGACCACACCCCACCCCCCTCTGGAATTTGTGCACTCTGGTGACCCCCCACCACCCCCTCTGGGCTTTGCACTCTGGTTTCCCTCCACCCCCACCTTGGGAAATATGCACTCTTTTTACCCCCCACCAACACTTCCCGGACTTGTGCACTTTGGTGACCCCCACCACAAAACCCCCTGGACTAGTGCACTTGGTGACCAACCACAAACCCCCTCTGGACTAAATGCACTTGGTGACCCACCAAACCCAAAACTTCTGGAAAAGTGCACTCTGATGACCACACCACCCCCTCCCGGATATGAAATTGGTTTTCCCCCACCCCCAACAATTTTGGGGCTAGTTTCACTCTTGTGACCACACCCCCAACACTTCGGACTATGCAAATCTGGGTGACCACACCAGCCCCCTCTGGACTTGTTTACCCCTGGGGACCACACCACAACCACCCTGGACTAGTTTCACTCTGGGGACCACAAAAACCAACACTTCTGGACTAGTTTCACTCCGGGGGACCACACCACCCAAAACTTTGGACTAGTGCACCTTTGGGGACCCCCACCACCACCCCTGGACTAGTGCACTTGGGGGACCACACCCAACCAAACCCTTTTGGGCTAGTGGGATCTGGTGACCCCACCACAACCCCCCCTCTTGAATAGGCACCTGGTTTACCCCCACCAAAACCACCCTCTGGGCTAGTGCCTCTGGGACCCCACCACCAAAACCCCTTTTGGACTATGCACTGTGGTGACCACACCACCAACACTTTGGACTAGGGGCACTTGATGACCACACACCTCATTGGGCTAGTGCCCCTCTGGGGATCACCCACAACCCCTCTGGGCTAAGGGGCACTCTGGTGACCCCCACCCCAACACTTCTGGACAGTCACTTGTGACCCCCCACCTCATTGGGCTAGTTTCACTTTTTGGAAACCCCACCCAACCAAACCCCCTCTTGAAATAGTGCACTTTGGGGGACCACACCCCCCAACCCCTTTTTTGGCTAGTGCCCCTCTGGTGACCCCCCCACCAAACCCAAAAATTTGGACTAGGGCACCGGTGACCACACCACCAAAAATTTTTGGAAAATAGTGCACTCTGGGACCACCCACCCAAAAACTTCTGGACTAGTTTCCCTCTGGTGGGCCACCCCAACCAACATTTTTGGACTAGTGCACTCTGGGACCACAAACCCCCAAAAACTTCTGGACTTTGTGCACTCTGGGGCCACAACCACCAACACTTCGGGCTAGGGCACTCTGGGTTTACCACACCCCAAAACTTCCCGGCTAGTGCCCAAAACCCGGGGAAACCCCAAACCCCCAACCCCTTCTGGACAAAGGCCCCTCTGGGCCCCCCCCCAACACTTCTGGGCTAGTGCAAATCTGGGGACCACACCACCAAAAAACTTTGGATAGTGCAAAACCCGGGGACCCCCACCCAACATTCTGGCTAAATGCACTCTGGACCCACCACCCAAAAATTCTGGACTAGGTTTCACTCGGGGTTACCACCCTTTTTTTTCTCTCTTCTATTTATTTTTTTTAGAAAATGATTTTTTTTTTTTTGCTTTCCTTTGCTTGGTCTCTTTGAACGCAATGAGTTCCAAAGAAAATTTTTCCCCTACTCTAGGCCCTTTGATATTTTTTTGGCCCCTCCCATTTTATTTTGTGGTTTGTCTGTGTGTCTTTGGTGTGTGTCTGTATGTGTAAAAATACAAAAAATCATGGTTGGGTTCCCTTGCAGGTCTCTCTCTCACAACCAGCCCGGCTCTACTGGGACCCACGAGCCTTCACTGGCCTACGCCACCTTAAAAAAACGGTTTAATTTTCGTCATCTCTCTGTTCCCCGTCCCGTCTTCTGTCTGTCTGTCCCCCGTCTGCGTCTGTCCTTTTTGTCTCTCCCCTCTCTCCTCTCTCTCTTCCTCTTCCCCACCCCCAAACCACACATATATATATAAATAATTTATTTTTAAAATATTTTTAAAATATATATAAACACACACTACACCCCCTTTATATATTTTAATTCAGGTCAAAATTTATTCTCGGGAAATTTGATGTAATTTTTTTTATATTTTAATGCATCCTTAAAAACGAAGTTTTTTTTTTTTTTATCATAGCAAACGGAACTGAGGTTTTCTGCAGGTTGGGGCCGGGTTTCCGGGGTTTGGCTAAAATTAAAATTTGGGTTTTTTTCCAATTCTTTCCCGTATAAAATTTGTTTTAAAACACTTTTTTCTGATGAAGCAAATTTTTTTATGAGAAAAATTTAAAAAATTCTGTACAAATTTTTTTAAAAAAATTTTTTTTTTTTCCATTTTAAAAGGGTTTTTTGAGTGTGTTCTTCTAAAACGAAATAAATTTTTTACATTTTTCCTCCTCGTTTTCTTCCTTCAAAGGGAAATTTTTCTCACAAAAACAAATTTTGGACTTTCAGTAAACAGCTTTTCCATCACATCCCAAGACTCCATCATCTGTGAGTATTTGCTACGTAGCAGACTACTTCAGGTCTCTCGCAGAGCAGTGGCGTTACCACTGCTCTGCGAGAGACTTGGACGAATCCCATCTGAAAGTCACGGGGCGAGCCCCGAGCGAGGAAGATGGTAACACATTTTCCAAGTCCTGCTACCTTGTTACACTGGAGTTAGTTGACTATTGCCGCCGTATTCTGGAGAAAGACCTAAATGTAACCCCATTTATATTAATCCCCAAGGATTGGCTTTGTTTGTTACTCGTACACTGGCAACTCTCTGGAGATAAAACTCCGGAATAAGACCTTTTTCTTCATGTCTCATCTTGGGTAATGAGAAATGTTGCGGGCCATATTCACAAGCGGTAAAATGCATCAGGTTTGTAGGACGTGAGTGTCTGACCTCGTCATTCCATATTCAGATGATTATGCCCGAGTTTCATGTGTTTGTGGTATGCTCTGTGATCATTTAGAAGCTGATTTTTAACTTCGTTTAGTTTCACTTAGATTTAAAATGATGCAGATTGTTTTAAGTCTATTATGAAGCTATATGGAAAATTTATTGCATTTATTACTAAGAGAAAGAGCTTCAGTGTTTGTTAGCAGACAAGCTAACAAACACTGAACTTCTGGTTCAGTGCCCAGCAACTTGAGTATCTTCTTTTCCCCTCCACAAGTCTTCCTCCCTTCCTTCCGCACATCTAAGACTCCCACACTTGTGAGTATCTTCCCTTCTCCCACCCCAAAAATTCAGAATCTCCACCAGTCCCACACTACGTATATTACGCTCGTAATTATTGAACCTATTATGGAATGCTTGACTATATCGTCACATAATCTACCGTGACCATAATTACTATCGTATTTGCTTTGTTTGCTTTCGTAAGGTGAAGTCCAGGATCTTTCCTTAATTCATGGTATAACTTAACAAATCTTTGAGGACAATTGTGTTGCAGAGTTCTGAGCTTTAAAAAAAATCAGACCTCTGCAACACAATTGTCCTCAAAGATTTGTTAATTTATACCATGAATTAAGGAAAGATCCTGGACTTCACCTTAAGAAAGCAAAGCAAATGCGATAATAATTATGAACAAGGTAGATTTTAGGGGGGAAAATAACACATTAGAAAACAAGGGAACTGACGCGCCCCTTTAAGTGTCCCAGCCCATGCTGACGGTTTTCATCTTGTGATGGCTGAGTTGGTCAACTGAGTTTAACACCTGTATAATACAGGGTCATTAAAGCTGCATGTAACATCCATATTTTAGGGATTAAAGTAGTATTCCTGATTGCTTGTGTCTCTGAGTGTATATACCAGGAGTGGGCAAGGTCTTGGGAAAGCAGAACCACATTTATAACTTTTCATGCATTTTAGAATGTTTAAGAACCACAGTAAATATTATTTTAAAATTATATTTAAAAATAATAAAAAATACAACTAAATTGTATTCCTATTCAATAAAGCAGGATATGAAGAACTGAGACACTTATGCAACACATGGGGATCTTTACTGAAGAAACGAGAAACTTTTCGCCACACAGTGGCTTCATCAGTCCAATACAAAGTAGAAATGGGTAAGGAGAGTAGAAGTTTGAGGTAATCAGTCCCTCAACCTGGAATCGATGTGTTCAGTCCATCACTCTTGTAGGAAGTGCAGCATAGGGCCAGAGAGGTGGCTTATATACTGCAGTGATATGAGGTGAAGCAGGAGGAGGCGGGATCACAGTGGGACCTGCCACTAGTGTAAATAGGTCGTCGTCCAAAGGTTAGGCAAGCGTTGAAGTCTTTGTACCAAGATCCCATGATGTTGCAGTGTCTGACAGATGTGATGAATGGTTTTGGACGACGACCTACTTACACTAGTGGCAGGTCCCACTGTGATCCCGCCTCCTCCTGCTTCACCTCATATCACTGCAGTATATAAGCCACCTCTCTGGCCCTATGCTGCACTTCCTACAAGAGTGATGGACTGAACACATCGATTCCAGGTTGAGGGACTGATTACCTCAAACTTCTACTCTCCTTACCCATTTCTACTTTGTATTGGACTGATGAAGCCACTGTGTGGTGAAACGTTTCTTCAATAAAGATTCCCATGTGTTGCATAAGTGTCTCAATTCTTCAACTTGTCGGTTTTCAAAACCATTCATCACAAAGCAAAATATCTTTAATCTCTGATCGTTGAAGACTTTGAATGAGTCTTCATCTTTGCAGTTAATAGTTTAAAAGCTAACTGTAAGATGCACTGTGAGGAGAATGTAAGTGAGGATAGCACTATATTTTGACTAGATAAATTTCAATACAGATAAGAGACATTCACAGTAGTAAGTCGGAAGCCAGTTTTCTGAAGATTAGGATACTTTGCTTCTGGGATTTGCTTCCAAAAGTTAGTAAGAGATAAGTTTTTATGTACTAGCTTCAAACCCACGTCTTCCTGCAGCTCAATAAGCTCTGTTTCTACTTCTGCAACATCTGTGGCAAAACAAACCATACCCCCGGCCGGGATTGAACCCGCGGTCATAGAGTCTCAAAACTCCAGCCCGTCGCGCTAACCATATTTGCAATCGTGTCATTACGATTTCTTAAGTCAAGTCTGTGGCAAAAGGTGCAACAACAGGACATCCATCATTTAAGACATCAATCACTGAAGGATTCACAAGAAATTCAAAGCATTGTTTTAATTTTGTCAGTTTCTCAAACCTGTCCTCAGAATCATTATAAATTGTTTGTAAGTTTCTGCCGTTCTGCTTTAATTTCAACATCAGGAAAAACAGTTATTCTTAATTTAAGACCGAAGAAGTGGTCAGAGTTCTTTGTTGTCAATAGATCTCTTTGTTGTCAGATTTCTTTGTTGTCAGATCTCTTTGGTAAGCTTTATTTTACTTTGAAAATTGAAATCTGATTGGGCAAGTTCTGTAATAACTTTGTTCTTGCCTTGAAGCGCCAGATGTTAATATTGAAGATGTTGTATTAAATCTGTAACGAACAACAGATTCTGTACCAATTCGTTATCTTCTAGTTGTAGGTATTTTTTTCTTTTCTTTCATGAAAGTAATGATTGGTTCAAAAAGAGGAACAAACGTATTTAAATGATTGGTAGTTGACAGCTGCCTTGTCTTCAATCTCCAGCTCCTCAATCAAATTTCTAAATTCACGGTGTATTTTTGCACTTGTCCGAATGAAATTAACAATTTCTATAACCTAATTTATGACACTGCTGAACTCGAAGTGTTTGTTTACTAAATGCTCAAGGTGGATGATACAATGGATAAAGAGACATTCACGGTAAGTGAGATCATGTGACAATTGCCCAACTAGGCCAATGTTTTGAATTACCATAGCTGGTGCTTCATCTATTGCAACGGTAACAAGTTTATGCAATGATAGTTGAATACTTAATAAAATTTTGTTAAGTGATTTTTTTATATCAATACCTTTTATGGTTTCCTTTAAGCTTATCAGGTTTAAGAATTCTTCTTTTTCATCTCCATCATTTATAACAGCGAACAAATATAACTGAGGGATATCCTGAATGTCAGTAGATACATCCAATGTTAAGCTGAAAGCAACGCAACTTTTCAAATCACTCTGCAGTGATGTCTAGGGCAATTGGTATAAATTGCTGGCTAGACAGGTACAGCAAGGAACTTGCAATCCCATTCATTGATAACTGGGACCTATTCTTTGGCAAACGTGATATGTATGCAAGGGATGGGGTTCATCTCTCTGGGGATGGAGTGGTTACGTTAGCCAATTCAATTGAGAGGGTAATTGATGACTTGTCTAGGAATTTAAACTGATAAATTATTGAGGTATGGGTGTTTGTGGGAAACAATCATGTTGCAGCATTAGGGTTAAAAACAGCATTTATTACCGGGATACCTCAGGGATATGTTTAAAAGACAATATTCAAAATAAAGTTGCTAGTAATGGCAAATCAATTGATCAACAAACAAACAAAGATATTAGAGGGCAACGAGTGACTAGCTCGCTTAAGGTTTACTATACAAATAGTAGGAGTCTAAGAAATAAGATAGATGAGCTAAGATTACTTGCAAGTGCAGGTAATATAGATATTATTGGTATAACAGAGACCTGGTTCAACCTGAAAGATAGAGAAATGCCTTCTGAATGCAACATACAGGGTTATAAACTATTCCACACTGATAGGGTTAACAGCAAGGGTGGTGGAGTGGCGATGTATGTCAGAGTAAATTTAAATTGCTGTCTTAGACATGATATAAGATTAGAACCATTGAACACAGAATCTGTTTGGCTACAATTTCTCGAGGGACGTGACATATTAGTTTTGGGTGTGATTTATAGGCCCCCAAACCTTGATAGGGAGTGCAGTAAGCTGTTATGGGGCGAAATTCATAAGGCATATAGTTATGAAAATGTTGTGATAATGGGAGATTTTAACTTTAGACAAATTGATTGGAACAATATGTCAGGAAATCTTGAGTCTAGTGACTTTCTTGATACGGTTCAGGATTGCTTTTTAGAACAGGTTGTGACAGAACCAACTAGAGGAAGCAATCTGCTTGACTTGGTTCTTGCCAACAAAGATTCACTAATTAATAATCTTGAGGTTAATGATGAGCTTGGGGAAAGTGATCACAAATCACTTAGTTTCAATATATCATGGAATTACCCAGATAACTGCAATCAAATCTCTGTCCCAGATTTTCGCTTGGCCGACTTCATGGGACTGAAAAATTACCTAGGTAGGCTAAATTGGGATGTCCTGACTATGGGTCACGTAGGTGATCTTGGTTGCCAATATGACGTTTTTCAGAGCATAGTTCTAGCTGCCCAGACAACTTTTGTTCCGAGTAGGGAAATTAGATCTAACAAAAATGATCCCAAATGGATGAACAGTAGATTAAAACATCTCATTGGTCAAAAGAGAGGCATATTTAGGCGTATCAAAACAGGGGGTGGGCAGTTAAGAAATCAATATATTCAATTAAAGAGAGAAATAAAGAAAGGAATAAGAAAAGCAAAAAGGGATTATGAGGCTAAGGTCGCAAGGGATTCAAAGACTAACCCAAAAGGGTCCTTTCAGGTATACAGAAGTAAGATTAGGGACAAGAGTAACTCTGGTCAGATCACTGACAGTGATAAGGATATGCGTGAAATTCTCAATACCTACTTCCTCTCAGTTTTCACCCAGGAAAATACTAGCGATATTCCTGAAATAATAGATTATGTAGAACAGGATAATAAACTATGCACGATTGCGGCAACTAGTGACATGGTCCTCAGACAAATAGAGAAACTAAAACCTAACAAATCCCTAGGCCCTGATGAACTGTTTGCAAGGGTGTTAAAGGAATGTAAAGAGGAACTTAGCATACCTTTGGCTAATCTTTTTAACATCACTACAAACTGGCATAGTGCCTGATAAGTGGAAAATGGCAAATGTAATACCTATTTACAAGGCAGGTGACAGGTCCTTGGCTTCGAAATATAGACCAATAAGCCTTACCTCCATAGTGGGAAAATTTATGGAATCAATAATTGCCGAAGCAATTCGTAGCCATCTTGACAGGCACAGATTGATTAATGATTCTCAACACGGTTTTACAAAGGGGCGTTCCTGTCTTACAAATTTGCTAACTTTTTTCACTAAGGTGTTTGAGGAGGTTCACAGTTTACATAAACGACATAGATGAGGGAATAAATATCAACATAAGCAAATTTGCTGATGACACCAAAATAGGCCGTCCAATTCATTCTAATGAGGACACTAGAGCACTCCAGGATGATTTGAAAAGACTGATGCAATGGTCGGAGAAGTGGCAGATGCAGTTTAATATTGACAAATGCAAAGTTCTAAATGTTGGACAGTTAAATAACCATGCCACATATAAACTAAATAATGTAGATCTTAATACTACTGACTGCGAAAAGGATTTAGGAGTTCTGGTTAGCAGTAATTTAAAACCAAGACAACAGTGCATTAGTGTTCGCAATAAAGCTAACAGAATTCTTGGCTTTACATCTAGAAGTATAATTAATAGAAGTCCTCAGGTTGTTCTTCAACTCTATATATCCTTGGTTAGGCCTCATTTAGACTATGCTGCTCAGTTCTGGTCACCGTATTACAGAATGGATATAAATGCTCTGGAAAACGTACAGAGGAGGATGAAAAAGACGATTCCATGTATCAGAAATCTTCCATATGAGGATGGACTAAGGGCCCTGAATCTGCACTCTCTCGAAAGGGGTAGAATTAGGGGGGATATGATCGAGGTGTATAAATGGAAAACAAGAATAAATAAAAGGGATGTAAATAGCGTGCTGAAAATTTCCAGCCAAGACAGGACTCGCAGCAATGGTTTCAAGTTGGAAAAATTCAGATTCAGGAAGGATATAGGAAAGCACTGGTTTGGTAATAGAGTTGTGGATGAGTGGAACAAACTCCCGAGTACAGTTATTCAGACTAAAAAGTTGTGTAGTTTTAAAAATAGGTTAGATAAATACATGAGTGGGTTTGGGTGGGTGTGAGTTGGACCTGACTAGCTTGTGCTGCTGGGTCTGGTGCAGTTCTCCATCCTTGAGTGGAGGTGACCAGACTGGGTGGGTCACTGGGCTAATCCGGGGAGGGTGGGTCATTGGGCTTATCCGGGGGGGGGAACATGGACCTGCTCCGCATGGGTCAGTAGGCCTGTTGCAGTGTTCCGTCTTTCTTATGTTCTTCTTATACAATGGTAGAACTAATTTCAGAAATGCGTCTCTCTTTAGTGCGGCGGGAGATAAATATTTGTTGTATTGCCTATTTAAGTTCAGAGTTCTCTGGAGCGAGAATTGCAATCACATCACTAATATTCTTTGCTTTTGCAAACTCTCTAGCTTCAGTAGCCAAATCACTTTGCTTACAGGTTGAAAATAGACATTTTATTGAATGACTAAATTAGATTTCAACAATTTGATCTTGTTTTTTTCGTAATTCTGATTAAGGAGGAAATTTAGATACAATTCCTTTTAAGGTTATGTTCGTGGTGATGCTTTAAATTACTGGCTGATGGCTGTGTGATAGATAAGGTACACAACCTGTTCACCCTTAACAGTAAAAATAAAATCTTCTTCCCATTGTTGGTTAAACGCTCTTTTTTTTGTTCGTATTTCCGTTTTATGTTGCTCGGTCATTAAACCCGGGTTTCATAACTTTAACTAAAATCAGTCTTAAGTATTTATTAATAAGAAAAGCACTTATCTACACTGAACTGCACTAGTTATGTTCCGCTACCGCTACAAGCGAGTAACTTGTGTGTACTGCAAAAAGAGTGGTGGCACAGAGTCCAGTTGCATAAACCGGACTTGTTTAAAACAGGTTTTGAGTATTTTCATTGACTTTAAATATCAGTTTGGGCACATAAAGTACATAAATGTTTGAAAAAATAATGTGAATTATTTTGTTATTATATATTATTATACATATATACAATATTAATATAATAATATATATATATATATATATATATATATATATATAATATATATATATATATTATATATATATATATATATATAATTAATATAATAATATATATAAACTAGAATAGGTATTTATATAATTATAAATTATTATATATATTTATATTTGAAATATTTAATTAATTATAAATAATAATTATTATATAATTATTTATGATCATAATAATTTTAATATTTATTTTGATATAATATTTTATTTAAAATTCTATTGATAATTAAAATTTTTGCATTAGAATTAATGAACTAAATTACATTCATAACTTATAAAGAAAATTCCAGAAAGACTTAATTTTAAATTTATTTATGATAATTTGACCTTTTACTTATTCGGCATCGGAATATTTAACTTTATATATATATATAATAATATATATTAAATATATTAATAATATATCTATAAGTATAATATTAGTATAGTTATATATATATTATAATAAATGTATATACACATTTTGGTTAGTACTACATACTAAATTTATTAATTTAATATTTAAGGGATAGTAGTAGTGAAAGCAATATTTTCTCTGGAGCAGGAGAGAGTAGCTTCGGGAGCCGCAGTTTGCCCACCGTTTGTATAAACACTGACACATACAACTCTCGTTGCCACATTATAAGAGGTATACAATACCGACAAGGTGATGAATAAGACACATGTATCTACTTAAGGCTAACGCTAGGAATGTTCACCTTGAATTAAAGCTGAGGGACCGAATACCTTCTATGTAGGTTAATGGACTAATCACCTATTAAGGATAATTGAAACTCACCTCTGTTCGACTGAAAAAGCCTGCTGTTGCACATGTCTTATTCATCACCTTTCAGTGTACATTCTTGTCTGCTGATGAAATGTGACAGAGAAATATGGCTTACATTTATTCTCACAACTTACATGTAAAATAGCGAATCCGTATACTTTGCGTGTTTTTATGTTGAAAAATATCACGAAGAGTAGAGCAGCTACACTAACTGCTCAGACTATAAAATTGCCATTTAGAATAGTGAAGCTGCACAGTACTGGTGTTCGTGCCTTATAACTACTGCATATTATAGTATGGTGTAGGAGCACACTCAGGGTGTTACCACTATCATACACGAGAGTGTAGTCGTACACAACAGGTGTTTGTATAATGTCATTTACAAGAGGGTGGTCCAACATCAGAGGCCAAATGGACATACATTCAAAATTTCTAATGGTAATTTCATCTTTATTGAATATAAGACCACATAACACTAGTGATGCTAGCATATATCAAGGTAAAGAGATATACAGATTCCTTTATTATGGAACCTGGAAGCTTTTGCACTAAGCTGAAACAGAACAATTTATGAGCTCAAAAAGCAAGAAGAATTTTTATTTTATTGTCTGATGTGCAAAAGTTGGGCCGGAGTGAATATGTAAATTTCTCTTTCAAGTTCCATTAAAACGTGTGGAAAAAATATAATTAAATATAATAAATGTAAACAGGAAAAAGGTATTGACGAATAAGAGATACTAAATTTCTACTAAACCAGTGATAGTTTTATTTTTGCTTATTAGTGGGACGTAATTATTTTCACTTACAAATAATGTTGCATTTCACATATTAGCAGAATTGCAAGCAACATAAAATCTTCTCATTTCATGTTAAACAAGAATCTTTCTATTCATGTTGAGTCTCATTTTAAAGATAACACACTGAACATTACTCAGTGTATTTTAATTCATTTGCCAGTAACTTTAACTAACTTTAACTTTTCCCCGTATTTTTGAATCAGCCGAACTGGAGACAGATCGACGGGTTCAAACACTGACACATCCCACACAAAGCGAGCAAGTGCTTGTATATGCAAGAACCCGAGTAGAGTTCCAGGTTTACTTATCAAACTGCCATTTCACTTCTCTTTATACATGACACACACTAGAATGCCAGAGACTGTTGTGTATATTGTAGCTCACCCAAATTATTTCAAGTGGCTTTTTGAATGAGTGTGCATTGGGAGCACCATTAATTGACCCGTGGGCCACGTATGGCCCACAGGCCTATAGCTGGACCACTTGGTCATAGAATACTCAGACAGACCACTGAGTATATCGTATAGAATAGTGCAGCCTCGCGCTACTATGTACTTAACATAACAAATAACAAAAAAGGCACAATACTGTGACTGGAACAATACAGAAATAACCCGCACATAGGAGAGAGGAGGTTACGACGACGTTTCGGACCAACTTGGACCATTTACAAAGTCACACTAACAAAAAGGAGTACAGGGAGTTTATATAGGCCAGTATAAGGGGACGGGACAAGAGAGGTAGTAAGAAAGGAGGAAGAGAGGTAATGTTAGTGTGACTTTGTAAATGGTCCAAGTCGGACCGAAGAGTCGTCGTAAGCTCCTCTCTCCTATGTGCGAGTTATTTGTGTATTGTACTTAACACTGTTTAGTAAAAGACTATCGAGTTTACTTGTGTTCAGGGAGACGGATGAGTGGAGGCTGTGTTGTCTAGCAAGACACGTGGAGAAGTGTCTACCTGAAGCAGATGAGTTCTCTTCGTGTGAGGACCTCATGTCCAACCTGGTGCTGCGGGTGTGTATCTGGATCCTGGGCTTCACTGCTCTCCTTGGCAACTCCTTCGTCATCATCTGGCGAAGTCTCTACTCCAGCGGGAACAAGGTGAGTCCTCTCTTGCCAGGTGTTCTCGCGCTACCAGTAATACTGTTGCAGATTTGACAGTTTCGTTATGCTACTCAACCACCGCTTTGCCACACCTGTGTTACAACTGTAATGTTTAAAATTGCTTATACGTTTATATAAGCTTGTGAAATTAATCTAACCAACCTAAAATAACTTACTTTTGCCTATAGCAACCAACCCTGCCCTAGACCAGCCTATCCTAGCCTAACCTAACCAAACCTAACCTAACGCAACCAACCCTACCCTAGACCAGCCTATCCTATCCTAACCTAACCAAACCTAACCTAACACAACCAACCCTGCGCTAGACCAGCCTATCCTAGCCTAACCTAACCAAACCTAACCTAACGCAACCAACCCTGCCCTAGACCAGCCTATCCTAGCCTAACCTAACCAAACCTAACCTAACGCAACAAACCCTGCCCTAGACCAGCCTATCCTAGCCTAACCTAACCAAACCTAACCTAACGCAACCAACCCTGCCCTAGACCAGCCTATCCTAGCCTAACTTAATCTACCCATATAATGACGAGAACTGTATACAGTACCACAAGCAGATGAGCAAGACGTGCTTCAGTAAAAGCTGCACAAGTACTGGCTGCCTTCCGCTAGTGAAACTTCATAATACTGCCTTCTACTAGTGAAGTTTCACCTTGCTGTCTTCTTCTAGTGAAGCCTCAGGCTGGATTCTTTCCTCTAGTGAAGCTTCACCATTTCTGCCTTACTCTATTGAAGACTCACCTTGGATTTCTTCCTCCAGTGAGGGCTCGCCCTGGGTGCCTTCTTCTAGTGAAGCTTCAAGCTGGTTGCCTTCCTATAGTGGAGCTTCTTCCTATCTCCCTTCCATTAGTGAAACTTCACTATGGCTGCCTTCATCTAGTGAAGCATCACTATGCCTCCCTTCCACTAGTGAAGCCTCACCCTGGCTGCCTTCCTCAGGTCAAGCTTCACCCTGGGTGCTTTCCTTTAGTGACACTTCACCCTGGCTACCTTTGTCTAGTGAAGCTTCACGCTGGCTGCCTTCCTCTAGTGAAGCTTCACACGAGCTGACCTATTGCACTGAAACTTCACGGTGGCTGCCTTCCTTTAGTGAAGTTTCACTTTGGCTAACCTCCTTTACTGAAGCTTCACGCTGGCTGCCTTCCTCTAGCGAAGCTTCACCTTGACTGACCTCCTATGCTGAAGCTTCACGCTGGCTGCCTTCCTTTAGTGAAGCTTCACCTTGGCTGACCTCCTTTGCTGAAGCTACACGCTGGCTGGCTTCCTCTAGTGAAGCTTCACGCTGGCTGTCTTCCTCTAGTGAAACTTCACGCTGGCTGCTTTCCTCTAGTGAAGCTTCACGCTGGCTGCCTTCCTGTAGTGAACCTTCACCTGGCTGCCTTTCTCTAGTGAAGCTTCACGCTGGCTGCCTTCCTTTAGTGAAGCTTCACGCTGGCTGCCTTCCTCTAGTGAACATTCACCTGGTTGCCTTCCTCTAGTGAACCTTCACGCTAGCTGCCTTCCTCTAGTGAACCTTCACCTGGCTGCCTTCCTCTAGTGAAGCTTCACGCTGGCTGCCTTCCTCTAGTGAACCTTCACATCGCTGCCTTTCTCTAGTGAAGCTTCACGCTGGCTGCCTTCCTCTAGCGAATCGTCATCATGACTGACCTCCTATGCTGAAGCTTCACGCTGGCTGCCTTCCTTTAGTGAAGCTTCACCTTGGCTGACCTCCTTTACTGAAGCTTCACTCTGGCTGCCTTCCTTTAGTGAAGCTTTACGCTGGCTGCCTTCCTCTAGTAAACCTTCACACTGGCTGCCTTCCGCTAGTGAGCCTTCACCTGGCTTCCTTCCTCTAGTGAAGCTTCACGCTGACTGCCTTCCTCTAGTGAAACTTCACGCTGGCTGCCTTCCTCTAGTGAACCTTCACCTGGCTGCCTTTCTCTAGTGAAGCTTCACGCTGGCTGCCTTCCTCTAGTGAAGCTTCACGCTGGCTGCCTTCCTCTAGTGAACATTCACCTGGCTGCCTCCCTCTAGTGAACCTTCACGCTGGCTGCCTTCCTCTAGTGAACCTTCACCTGGCTGCCTTCCTCTAGTGAAGCTTCACGCTGGCTGCCTTCCTCTAGTGAACCTTCACATCGCTGCCTTTCTCTAGTGAAGCTTCACGCTGGCTGCCTTCCTCTAGTGAAGCTTCACGCTGGCTGCCTTCCTCTAGTGAACCTTCCCCTGGCTGCCTTCCTCTAGTGAAGCTTCACGCTGGCTGCCTTCCTCTAGTGAACCTTCACCTGGCTGCCTTCCTCTAGTGAAGCTTCACGCTGGCTGCCTTCCTCTAGTGAACCTTCACCTGGCTGCCTTTCTCTAGTGAAGCTTCACGCTGGCTGCCTTCCTCTAGTGAAGCTTCACGGTGGCTGCCTCCCTCTAGTGAAGCTTCACGCTGGCTGCCTCCCTCTAGTGAAGCTTCACGCTGGCTGCCTTCCTCTAGTGAAGCTTCACGCTGGCTGCCTTCCTCTAGTGAACCTTCACCTGGCTGCCTTCCGCTAGTGAAGCTTCATGCTGACTGCCTTCCTCTAGTGAACCTTCACCTGGCTGCCTTCCTCTAGTGAAGCTTCACGTTGGCTGCCTTCCTCTAGTGAACCTTCACCTGGCTGCCTTCCTCTAGTGAACCTTCACGCTGGCTGCCTTCCTCTAGTGAAGCTTCACGCTGGCTGCCTTCCACTAATGAACCTTCACCTGGCTGCCTCCTCTAGTGAGCCTTCACGCTGGCTGCCTTCCTCTAGTGAAGCATCACGCTGGCTGCCTTCCTCTAATGAACCTTCACCTGGCTGCCTTCCTCTAGTGAACCTTCACCTGGCTGCCTTCCTCTAGTTAAGCTTCACGCTGGCTGCCTTCCTCTAGTGAAACTTCACGTTGGCTGTCTTCCTCTAGTGAAACTTCACGCTGGCTGCCTTCCTCTAGTGAAGCTTCACGCTGGCTGCCTTCCTCTAGTGAACCTTCACCTGGCTGCCTTTCTCTAGTGACGATTCACACTGGCTGCCTTCTTCTAGTGAAGCTTCACACTGGCTGCCTTCCTCTAGTGAACATTCACCTGGCTGCCTTCCTCTACTGAACCTTTCCCTGGCTGCCTTCCTCTAGTGAAGCTTAACGTTGGCTGCCTTCCTCTAGTGAACCTTCACCTGGCTGCCTCCCTCTAGTGAAGCTTCACGCTGGCTTCCTCCCTCTAGTGAAGCTTCACGCTGGCTGCCTTCCTCTAGTGAAGCTTCACGCTGGCTGCCTTACTCTAGTGAAGCTTCACGCTGGCTGCCTTCCTCTAGTGAAGCTTCACGCTGGCTGCCTTCCCCTAGTGAACCTTCACCTGGCTGCCTTCCTCTAGTGAAGCTTTATGCTGGCTGCCTTCCTGTAGTGAAGCTTCACGCTGGCTGCCTTCCTCTAGTGAAGCTTCACGCTGGCTGCCTTCCTCTATTGAAGCTTCACCTAGCTGCCTTCCTCTAGTGAAGCTTCACGCTGGCTACCTTCCTTTAGTGAACCTTCACCTGGCTGCCTTCCTCTAGTGAAGCTTCACGCTGGCTGCCTTCCTCTAGTGAAGCTTCACGCTGGCTGCCTTCCTCTAATGAACCTTCACCTGGCTGCCTTCCTCTAGTGAACCTTTACCTGGCTGCCTTCCTCTAGTGAAGCTTCACACTGGCTGCCTTCCTCTAGTGAAGCTTCACGCTGGCTGCCTTCCTCTAGTGAACCTTCACCTGGCTGCCTTCCTCTAGTGAAGCTTCACGCTGGCTGCCTTCCTCTAATGAACCTTCACCTGGCTGCCTTCCTCTAGTGAACCTTCACATTGCTGCCTTCCTCTAGTGAACCTTCACCTGGCTGCCTTCCTCTAGTAAACCTTCACCTGGCTGCCTTCCTCTACTGAAGCTTCACGCTGGCTGCCTTCCTCTAGTGAACCTTCACCTGGCTGCCTTCCTCTAGTGAAGCTTCACGCTGGCTGCCTTCCTCTAGTGAACCTTCACCTGGCTGCCTTTCTCTAGTGAACCTTCACCTGGCTGCCTTCCTCTAGTGAACCTTCACCTGGCTGCCTTCCTCTAGTGAACCTTCACCTGGCTGCCTTCCTCTAGTGAACCTTCACCTGGCTGCCTTCCTCTAGTGAACCTTCACCTGGCTGCCTTCCTCTAGTGAAGCTTCACCTGGCTGCCTTCCTCTAGTGAACCTTCACCTTGCTGCCTTCCTCTAGTGAACCTTCACCCATTGCCTTCCTCTAGTGAACCTTCACCTGGCTGCCTTCCTCTAGTAAACCTTCACCTGGCTGCCTTCCTCTAGTGTACCTTCACGCTGGCTGCCTTCCTCTAGTGAACCTTCACCTTGCTGCCTTCCTCTAGTGAACCTTCACCTGGCTGCTTTCCTCTAGTGAACCTTCACCTTGCTGCCTTCTTGAAACAACGAGGTACATTTTGTTTAGCAAGTATTGCAGCGACGTGTTACCCAGTGTTACACTTAGTCTTTGTCACTCACACTGGTGATGTGATGTTACTCTGGCGACGTGATGTTACTCACTCTGGTGATGTGATGTTACTCTGGCGACGTGATGTTACTCACTCTGGTGATGTGATGTTACTCTGGCGACGTGATGTTACTCACTCTGGTGATGTGATGTTACTCTGGCGACGTGATGTTACTCACTCTGGTGATGTGATGTTACTCTGGCGACGTGATGTTACTCACTCTGGTGATGTGATCTTACTCTGGCGACGTGATGTTATTCACACTAGTGACGTGATGTTATTCATACTAGTAACGTGATGTTACGCTGGCGACGTGATATTATTCACACTAGTGACGTGATGTTACACTGGCGACGTGATATTATTCACACTAGTGACGTGATATTATTCACACTAGTGACGTGATGTTACACTGACGACGTGATGTTACTCACACTGGCGACGTGATGTTATTCACACTAGTAACGTGATGTTACACTGGCGACGTGATGTTACTCACACTAGTGACGTGAT